CCCCTGCCTGGCCCTGGCGAGGCCGCGCGTAAACTCGGCTGCGCGGCCTCGGCCGGCCTCCTCGGCCGCGGCCGAGGCCGCAGGATCCGCGGCCTAGGGGGTCACGTAGGCAGGCAGAAGTCTTACTTTGGGGGCGGTGCTCGGTATCACCCCCCCTAGTAGGCCGTGACCGATTGGAAAAAAAAAAAAAAAAAAGAACTTTCTGTTTTTTGTTTTGTTTTAGTAACTAATCCATATCCTTTCCAAGAGGCGGTGGGTAATGTGGGGGCCGAATTTGTCTGGCGGGGTCGGCCAGATGCGCCACCAGAGCTTGGAGCGCAGGGCCCGCGGCCAACAAATGGGAAAGGTACTGGTGGTTTAATTGGTCCAAAACCTCGGTGCTTATCCCACCTGGAGTGGAGCTCCCCTACCACTGGAGCCTCCGGATTGTAGTGCCACAGCAGCAGGGGCGACTGTTAGGCCATCACGTTACCTTCACGGGTCAAATTTTTGACAGATCCATAGAATGCTCTTGCCGTCTTGGGCTTGCATTGGCCCCTTGGATCAGATGTAAGAGACTGGCTGTCAGCCTGTTCCCTTGCACCTGGGGTATTAGTAATAACCCCGTCGCCCGTCCTTTCCTTCTTAGGGTACCAACGACCCTCACGTCAGGACACCCACGGCCTACTGCTCCAGGTGATCACTGTGCACTCAGTGACTGGCCTCTACAACACCAATGGACTTCAAAAAAAAAAAAAAAGGGTACCAACGGCCCCTTCGTCAGTTGGACCTTCCAACAATACAGACCATTTGTGGCATGCTCACCCATTATTTGGGGAGGGAAGAAGTGGGGGGATGCAGCCTTTTTACCTCAAGTGAGTTGGGAAGTTATTATTTGACAGCCTAAAAATCTTCGGGGACGGGCCATTCTAGATCCTTAGCATCAGATTGCTGCTGTGCTTTTGCTAGGTGGATCTGGAGGGGAAATTTTGAAGGTGCATTCTCGGCTGGCCTGGCGACAACTTGCTGAATTTTTGCATAAATTTTTATGGACCTTAGGAATGGCTTAATCTCAGATGTATATGGTTGGCATGGCTTAATCTTAGATGTATATGGTTGGCTGTTTTTTTTGGGGGAAAACTACGCGGGAGTCACAAAAATGAGTTATAATTGCAGTATGGGCAAAGATACAGTTTCGAATTGTAGTTCGGGAAATGTATACAACCCAGCTTTCTGGCCAGGTAGGGTGCCCCAAGTGCAATTGCAAACTGTATCTTGCCCCATAGTGCAATTATAACTCGTTTTCATCTGGCATTGGTCTGACGTTTTGAAGGCCTGGGAAAACATTTTGCCCTCATTTACGGCGCCATGACGCCGCCATCCAATGGTGGCTGCACGAGTCCTCACGAGTCTTCCTTCACCCATCCACTTCTTGATCACTCTTTCATTCTCACCCACTGGCAGGCGATGTGCGGTTTTCCTGTTTCGATGATGCCGCAGAGAGGGAAGGGAACTGTGGATGATATCTGGGACTTCCAACTCCTAGATTGAAAGTCTTTCGAGCTATTGGCAGGCCAACTTTCTGGCCTGTGAAACGAAAGAGCACATCTGCAACCCCTCCAACAAGCCATTCTGGCATGAGATTTGGTTGAAGCTTCAGAGATAGACCTGCTGAAGCTTTGCATTCCTCAGTCTGAGGCTAAGAGCTGACTGAGGTTCAGTGGCATGTGTCTTTGTATGCGAGCTTGGTGGTGGCTGATGTATGTTTACCTGAGACTCGGTTGATAGAGATAGATAGATAAGATAGATAGATAGATAGATAGATAGATAGATAGATAGATAGA